CCAGCTACTGCCGCGAGGGAGGAAGCACCGGGGGCGGCGCGGTACGTACGGGGCGGCCGGAGGCTCCTCACTGCAGCGACTGCTCGAGCCCGGCACCACCCCCCCCCGTTCGCCGGGACCGGCGCGTCCAAGATGGCGGCTCCGCCGACGCGCACTGATGACGCGACTCCTACACGCCACTTCCGGCCCCGGTCCGCCTCCTCCCCAGCACGTGATGCCGGTGCGTGACGCACTTATAGCTGCTCCACGTGCCTGAAGCGTGGGGCCTAGTTCGGGATTCCTGGGCACGAAGCGCCTCTGTCGCGGGGCAAGCCGGCTGACTCCTGTATTTCCGGGGTCTCCCCTGGTAGGTGGCCGAGGCAGGTAAAAGTCCTGGGCGAGGGGAGGGCTCTCTTCCCCCGGGGGCGGTGCGAGCGCACCTCCAGCCCCCCTTGCATGCTTCTCTGTAAGTAGGGACCTGGAAACTAGCCAGAAGTCTAGAGATGGACACAAGCATTGTCTTCAGTGGGATCCTCGAATCCAGTGTCGGCAAAGGCTCAAATTACTTTTGTTTGCTCCGAGTGTATCCTCGCCTCCTTGTCCCCCCTCGATAGGGGTCTGGCAGTACTGCGTGCCTGGCTGTGCTGCCGGGAGAGGGGAGAAGCTGGCCGCCTGCTCCCTTTGCTGGGCTACTGAAGTGGGGCTAGGCTTTGTATCTTCCTCTGGTATCTGATGCTCTCTGTGGATGCTTCAGGCTGCAGAAGCACCCCAGAATCCCCCAGGGGGTTGAGCACCCACACAGCCAGCAAGGTCTGTGTCCCCCCGGGGGGCACAGAGCCCTGACAAAAACCAGACGCTGGGTGGTGGCTGCAGTTACCCCAGGCTTGTGGGTGTGCTCCAGGAAGGAGGTTGGCTGGTCATAGGTGCCCCAGGGGAGACTCGGAGCTTGGTTTTTGGCCGGGACGACTAGTCTGCCACATGTGGTGGGAGCGGTGGGATCCCACAGCCTGTCTGGAAGGCATGATTTTGGGGAAGGAAGCTGAGTCACTGAAAATGCTTGAGCAAACGAGTCTTTAATTTGGCATGAGGTCAACTGGACAGGGTGGCTAGCTAGGATGGCTGACAGGTATGCCCACCTGACTGTGGATGGCTTGGTAAAGGAAATGAAAAACAGAGGCCTTCAAAGGAAAAAACAGGACCTGATTAAAGCCCTGCGGGACAGCGCTCACGCCAAGGGACTTCTCGCCTCGGTTCCAAGTGGGGCTGAAGCCTCTTCCAGCGGGCCGCCAGAGCAGAAGCTTGAGGCGCGACTGCTCCTCCGGGCCCAGGAGCTGGAACTCCAGAAATACCAGCTGGAGCTAGCAGAAAAGGAGGCCCAACACAAGCACAAGCTCAAGGCTGAACAACGGGAGGCACAGCACCAGCATGAGCACGAGCTCAAGGTACTCCGGTTGCAGCATGGAGATGGAGCTGGGGCCAACCCGGCTCAGCCGCTGCCAGCTGCACAGCCCAGAGTGCACACCCAGAACTTCACCCCATGCAAGGTCAGAGATAATCCAGAAGTGTTCCTGAGTGCTTTCAAAAAACAAGCAGACCGATGGGGAGTGAAAGAGGAAGACTGTCCAAAACATGTTGCCTGGCTAGTATCGGGCAGCCTGGCTACTGTCCTGGACAGTCTGCTTGCCAGGTCTGAGAATAACTATAGCTCTTTTACAAAGGCCCTGTTTGAGAGGTTTAGGTTGGGGTCCAGTCATTTCCAGAAAAGGTTCTCCTGGACAGAGGTGATAGTAGGTGGGAGACCCCACATCAGGGAGGTGGACACTGGGGTCAGTGTCACTGATTGATGCCAACCTCCTTTTGCCCTCTTATATAGTTCCTGGAAAGACCCTTACCATAGAAGTGGTGGGGCACCAGCCATTCAAGGTACTGGTAGCCCATCTCCTCATTAGGTGGAAGGACTGGAGATGGAGTTGGAACTAGGTGTGTTGAGGCATGGCCGTGGCCCTGCCCCCATACTGGTGGGGAGGAATGTTATCTTTGGATGCTTCAGGCTGCAGCAGCACCCCAGAATCCCATGGTGGGTTGGTTAAGTACCTACAAGGTCTGTGGGGCAGAATGCCACTGCTGTCTCTCCCCACAACTCTGCTCCGTGACAATTTGGTTACCATGGTCACTGCAGAGGGCAGACATCCCATGGGCTCCAGGTAACCCTGAGTTTTAACCTGAGCTGGATACATTCCTGAGGGAGGGGGAAACCTGCTCCCTCTGCCTGTGACTGGCATCACAGGCCTGGGTTGGGGCTTAAGCTCCCTATTGTTCTAAGGCTCTAAGCAATGCCAACATGACTGGGAGGGGGCTAAAGACCCTGCCAGTTTACCCAGCAACCAGTGATGCATTTCAAATTGGTTGGCTAGCGGTCAACAGTTGCTGGCCTTTATTGGACCAGGTAAATGAAGTCTTAAGGGCTATATAAGTGAAGGACTGCTCAGCAGGAGGGGCAGTAGCCATGATGAAAACTCAGAAAGAAGCTGGATCATCTAAAACTCTCTCTTGAAACTCATGATCAGTGAACTGCCTGCCTCCAGAGGAAATCACTGCCTGCTTCTGGGTGATACTCATGAGAAAGCTACCTGAGATCTAACTAGATATATAGCTTGCAGTAACCCAGATGCATGATCAAAGGCTACCCAACCACCCTGTTTGCTCTATAGGAGTTCTATATCACTCTACCCTGTATCCTATTCCAAACCTACTCCTGGTAACCATTAAAGTTTTCCTTTGTACCTAGCATGGGAGACTTATTGAGAGAGGGGCTAGATTATGCCTTGGGGGTCCCCTTGGTTTGGTTGACTAAGGGAGACCACCCCAGGGTCTTGCAGTGGGTCAAGTATATACTCAAGGACTGCTATGCCTGTGTTTCCCAGGGGGCACAGGGCCAGGATCAGTCCAAACTCTGGGTGGTGGCAGTGTTACCCCCAGGCTAGCAAGTGTGCTCCAGGAAGGGGGTCAGCCAGATGTGAGGCACCCCAAGGAAGGCACTCAGAGCCTGGAAGGTGGTTGGGCGCAGTGAGGCGCGTGGCTCAGCACAGGAGCACCCCCTTCCTGTCCTGCTACACTGTGTACCCCGGAGGCATACTACTGTCCCGCCACAATCACCAGCGCCACCAGCCCTGGCAGCATTGTGTCATACATCAGGTTCAACTGCCACAGTTACAGGCACTCTTGCCATCTGCCCACCACGCTGCCAGCTTGTCTAGGCACAATACAGGAGGGGCAGGGATCGGAGGTGAAGCTCCCTGCCCTGTCCCTCCTTGCCCCAGCCATCCAGTACTGCCCAGTCATCTAAGCACAGCACCAGGGTCAAGAGGAGGAGCCCAAGCCCAGCCCCGTGGTGCGGTATGTATGGGGTGGCTGGAGACTACACGCTTGGGCCTGGTGCTGCCCCTCCTTCCCACTAGGACCCGCACATCCACGATGGTGGCCCTGGCCCTGCGGCGTGTGATGTGGTGGCCCTGCCCGCCCCTCCCTCCCTCCCTCCCCAGCACGTGATGCAGGCACAAGGCAGGCACGTGACGTGTTTATTGCTACTCCACATTCTTGACACGCAGCACGACGGGCACAGAGCTGCAGGGCAGCGGGCCTAGCTCCGTGATCACCAGCGCCACCAGCCCCGGCGGCGTTGCGTCATACACCAGGTTCAGGAGCGGCGCTCCTGCCAGCTGCCTAGCACCCCTGCACACTGTGCTGCCAGCTCATCTGGGTCATCTAGGCACAGTGATGGGGTCAGGGAGAAAGGGGCACACACCGCCCTCCCTGCCCCCTCGCCCAGGGGCCCAACCACTTGGCTCCCAGCCCCACCACCCTCAGCCTCTGCACCATCTGCTTAGCCCTGAGATCCATCAGGCCCAGCCTCAGCCCCTTCCCTAAGACCCGTAGGGCCCTGCCCCCACCCCTCCAGGCACTAACATTACCTCGCCAGACCCCCCCCCTACCCCAGCACCCAAACAGCCCATCTCACCCCACTCCCCACCTGGCTGGTTGCAAGGCATAAGGCCAGAGACAGATCACCCCCACCATCAATACAAACATTGAAATAGGGACTACCCCTCCACCCCCATCCCCAGCAGCAGGACTGGGACATCTCCCCCAAAAGCCCCCAAGCACTGGGAAGGGGTTCCCTCCACCCTGAGAAGCCTCTAGGTAGCAGGACAGGGGCAGCTACAGGACCCTGCAGGAGCACAAAAGCGGGGAGGGAGGGGTGCACACCTAGCTCATTGGAGACAAAGGAGTCCGTCTGCACTCGCTCGCAGAACTTGTAGGTCTCGCAGCACACCAGCACTGGCACATTATAGGCCTGGGCCATGAGTGCGATCTGCGATGTCCCCACCCGTGACATGACGGATCCATTGGCCAGGAGCGCATGGGCGCCCAGCAGCACCTTGGAGACCTGCAGGGAGGCTGGCGCCATGAGCATCCTGGTGCTGCAGCCAGAGGCTCCAGCCACCCCCATCCTGCCCACAGACAGGGCCCCCTCACCTCAGGTAGCACATAGGAGATGGCGCTGATGAGGACATAGGTGCAGTGGATGCCCTGGCGCACCAGCTGCCGCAGCATATCCCGGCCCTCCAGCCGTGGCCGGCTGTCCACCACAATAACGCGGAAGACACGGCCCTTGTCATAGGCGTCACACAGCATGCGTTTCACGAGGGAGGAGCTGACACAGAGGCAGAATGAAGGGAAGCTGTACCAACCAGTGGGCTCAGCCCAGTTGAGCCAGATGTGCCTCCCCGTGCCCAACCCCTGCCATGCTTGGTGAGCTCGTGGGCTCTGCTCGGTGCCAGGAGGGACCGTGAGTTACCAAGTTGGGACCCCAGGACAGATTCTGCCTGCTGACCCTTGAGGATGCACGGGCAGCTACCATCTGTCAGGAGGGCTCCAATCTGTAGCCAAAGCCACCAGGCCCCGCAGTCTGAGCTGCCCTGGGGTTGGTGCCAACGGTCAGTCCCCAGCAGGGCCTCATTTCTCTTGTAAGCAGCCTGACTTCAGTTCCCAGCTGCCTTCCTCTGCTGGCCTGAATAGCTGCCTAAGAACCCAGCTGGGTCCAACCCCACAGGGTCCTGTTAGAGGGTCTTGCCCCTGTGCTCAGGCTCAGCCCAACCCTACACTGGGGAAGGAAAAGATTTCCCCCTGCTCAGACTGGTTCACAGGGGTGGGGGGGGGTGCCTACCCCTACGGCAGGGACCTGGGGTCTCTGCAGCGTTCATGACCCCCCTGGCAGTAGCAGGACATTGGCGGCCATGGCCTCCCTGTATCCCAGGGGCAGGGGCAATGCCTGGGGCTGTGTCAGGTGTGACCGTGTTCTGTTGCTCAGAGGCTGGATACGAGGTTTGAACAGGAGTGATCCCGCCTCAGGCAGGGCTGCGACTAGACACGACTGCTGGAGCTCCCTGCCAGCCCCATGGCTCTAGGACTGACTTTTCCCCCCCCCGTTGCCAGTGCCCTCTCTATTGTCCTGCTGATGCTGAACCCTTAGAGGTGCACTGCAGGGCATTTCTTCCTGTCCTAGGATGTTATCTGTGGCTCATTACTCCTGCCCAACTTCCCAACATCCTGTTTAGAACGCAGCTCCCAGGAAGCCTCACCCCCAGCGACCAGATTCCTCAGGGCTGCACACAGGACTAAACCCCTCCCTCTTCACACATCCAGGGCTCATATTCTTTTTTTCTGCACAGCACTGCCCCAGGAGCTCAGGCAAAGCTGCTTGTCAGCTAGGACCCTAGATCCTCTGCAGTCATGGCTTTCCAGCCTGGGCATGTGGCTGGATATGTGTCTGTTTTAAGATGCAGCTGAAAGAAAACATTAAGCAGCATCAGCCCAGTACTAATCCCTGCAGAGCTGTATTGGACCACGGCAGCTCCCTGCCACAGGCAGCTTGCTAGAATCAGGAGTGGCCGTGTCCAAGCCTGGCGGTACGCAGTGCTGGATCTAGCCAGAAGCCCCATAGCGCTAAACCACACACTTAGATAAGCTGAAGTCTGTTATGTCCCTGCAGTTCCATTCATCAACTAGGCTTCTGATCTCATGCTGTGCAAGCACGTTTTACGGGACCCGTCCTTCAGAAGACCATGTGGAACCAGCAGCATCTTCTTGGTAGCCGACTCTGCGTGGACTTGCAGTGGCTCTTCCATTTCTCATCTGGGACAGACACCAAGCCAAGGACCTGGGGTGGTCATCAAGCTAATGGGCGTGCAGTCACTTGAGGCTTAGAAACAGAGTCACAGGGCTGGCGGGGAGCTCCAGATGTCACGTCTAGTCCACCCTCTGCCTGAGGCAGGATCAGCCCTGTCCAAACCAGCCCAGACAAACCCACTGTCCAAACTCTATGCAAAACTACAGTCACCCTGACATGGCCCCCGGCATCACATGGGACAGTGCCACAAGGAAAGCAGAGGACCAGAGTGGACAATGTCCAAGACTATTAATAGACGCTCCAGAGCGGCCTGGCCTAGGGCGCCAAGCTAATTGGCCTACAGGCACTTGCTTCTCTAAGTCTCTTGCAACCTCCCTGGTGTTTCAGGACTCCTGCCTTGTGGTGAGACCACACTCTGGAGCTCAACATGGGGGACAGGATCAGGCCCGAGCTGCATCCACCCAGGGCTGCCCTGCAGCAACTGCTGACCCAGAACCCACCATGCTCCTCATTCCCACAGGAGCGTTTCTTGATCTCTCTGCTTTGCTGTGTCAACAATTACAGTTGCATAGTATCATAGTAGCTAGGGTCAGGAGAGACCTGAACAGATCATCTAGCCTGACCCCCTGCCACAGGCAGGAATGAATGCTGGGTTCACAAGACCCCAGACAGGTGTCTTCAACTCACGAGGGGCATCTGGTACCGTCTGGAGCCCCTCTGTCCCCAGCATGTGACAGCCTCCTTCCAGCCCCAGGCCTAGCCCTGCCAACCATGAACTTCCCTGGCAGCAACGGCTTCCCTATCAACTTCCCCGCAGCCCAAGTTCAAGGCCACTGCGACAGCTGGGTTGTTCCCAGCGCCACCATCACTTCCCTGCTGAGCCAGCACAAGAACTGTGGCTTCCTGGACCCCCAGGGTTGCTTCCAAGAAACTCTTTAAGTTTCGCTCTATTTGTGTGTCCCAGCATCTGCCTGGATCCTGCTGCTCATACGTTTCCCTGCCTCAGAGAAGCCACCCCCAGAAACAGCGCACTGGGACACAACTGGCTGGAACTGGCCCATTCCCAGGAAACAAATCCCGTGTCCCCATCACAGCCCATGCTCCCACTCAGCGGAGCTCACCCCCAGCTCAGGCCGCACACTCCTCCTACCCCGGCGAACCACCCGACGGGCAAGCCCCCGCCCCCGCCGTACCATCCATACACCAGGATGACGTCGTTGTCATTGATCTTCTCAAGGGCATACTTGGAGATAGCCTCCGCGGCCAGGGAGATCCTCTCTCGCACAAACTGGTCGATAAAGTCCTGCAGCTTCTTCTTCGCCTACAGAGAGATGGCACCGTTGCCTGGGGGCCTCGATATGTTGGGCTCCCTGCCCTGCCTGCCCACACTACACACGTCTCCCTGCCCTGGCGCACCCACTGCCTGTCCTGCCCTCGCAGGCACTAGCCCCCAGCACCCTTCATCTTTGGTTAAGCGCAGGCAGGAAGCTTGCTGCTGTCCAGCCCCCGGAGCGATGGCGGGTTTCCAGGGGCCCTACCCTATCTCTGTGGGCTCTACCACCTCCCACCCCAGTCCCTCTGGAGCGCCTGTATGAACCCCTCTGTGCCTCCAGCCCCTTCCTTCGTAATCCATTTTCTCCAGCTGCGCTCACGCTTTTCTTACTGCGACTCTGAGACTTTGACAGTGCCTCGGTGCTACCAGGACCCGAGTTATAGGTCCAGTGACCCCTTGGACCCCATGGAGCTGCCCCCCCTCGGCGAGGCCACCAACTGCAGGCTTCTTGACTGCGAGGCCCCTGAGCGTGGGACTCACCTCCTCCTCCTTCTTGGTACTTGGCAGACCTGAGATCTCCTTCTTGAGGTGCTTGATGGCATTGCCCATGCTGGCAGACAGTGGCCGGCACTGGTTCAGGAAGCTGCCAAGGAGACAAAGGATCAGCTCCAGAGCATTGCAGGGGGGTAATGCCCCTGTGCTGAGGCTGAGTCCCTGGGGAGCTCCAGGTCATGCTGATAGGGATAACTAAGAAGTCCTCCCCTGACCTCTGGCCTGAACAAACTGGGGGCACTGCCCCAGCATGACCCAGGCAGGGCAGTAGGAGGGAAGGACTAGCAGCCCTGCGAGACCCGTCCCTCACCTGATGTACGGCTTCAGCTTGGCCACCAGGTCCCGCGAGAGCTCCTCGTTGGGCGGCGTCGAGTAGTCCCGGATCACCTGGGGCCCAGGAGGGAAGGATGTGAACCCTGGCGTGGTGCAGTGCCAGCCCCCATTGCCTTGCCCTACCCTGGGGGGACCAAGGTGCAGCATGGCAGGAGCAACGCACCTGCTTGAAGGCCTGCAGGAGGGCGATGCAGCGGGTGTTGGAGCCGTTGATGAGGCCACTGGAGTACTGCAAGCCGAGGCGCACCACTGCCGGGTGGATGACTGTGGAGGGGATGCTGCGGGTGGCATAGGTGAGAGCCCACAGGGGCAAAGAGGCGCACCCGGTAGCTGGAGCACCTGTGCCCTCCATGGGGCACAGCAGCCCTCGCCCAACCCGTGCGTGTGGCCCAGGTGCCCCCCTCCCCCCACCAGTCAGGGCTCCCCCGTCACGCAGCACCCCCACGCAGGGCCGGGCGAGCTGCAATGGGGGGCTGCTAGGCCCAGCGCGGGGCGGGAGACACCCACCTCATCTCCTGCGTCAGCGGCTTCTTCCGGCTGTACTGGTGCAGGTGGGAGAAGAGGTTGACCTTGGGGCCGTAGTCCTGCCGCATCAGGACCTGCGTGTGGACATGCCGACACACGGCT